TTCCTTCCTTCCTTTTCCTTCCTTCCTTTTCCTTCCTTCCTTTTCCTTCCTTCCTTTTCCTTCCTTCCTTTTCCTTCCTTCTTTTTCCTTCCTTCCTCTTCCTTCCTTCCTCTTCCTTCCTTCCTCTTCCTTCCTTCCTTTTCCTTCCTTCCTTTTCCTTCCTTCCTTTTCCTTCCTTCCTTCCCCTTCCTTCCTTCCCCTTCCTTCCTTCCCCTTCCTTCCTTCCCCTCCCTTCCTTCCCCTTCCTTCCTTCCTTCCCCTTCCTTCCTTCCCCTTCCTTCCTTCCTTCCTTCCTTCCTTCCTCCCTTCCTCTGTCCTTCCTCCTTCCTTGCTTCCTTGCTTCCTTGCTTCCTTGCTTCCTTGCTTCCTTGCTTCCTTGCTTCCTTGCTTCCTTGCTTCCTTGCTTCCTTGCTTCCTTCCCTTCCTTGCTTCCTTCCTTCCTTGCTTCCTTGCTTCCTTGCTTCCTTGCTTCCTTGCTTCCTTGCTTCCTTCCTTCCTTCCTTCCTTCCTTCTTCCTTCCTTCCTTCCTTCCTTCCTTCCTTCCTTCCAACACATCTCCGTCGACCACTCAGTCTCGCTCCCCCGCGGCGAGTGCAACTAAACGAGAACCCAAGCATCGGAGATGCTTTTGGGAAAAAAAAAAAGCACCTCGTTCAAGAGCCAAAGGTCAGGCTCGATGACGAGCCCGCCCAGGTCTACCTTCTCCTGCCAGTTATTTCAATATACCCTCTGGTAAACAGCCACATAGCTATAGAAAATGACAATTTTTAATAGGTAAACCATCTATAAATGGCCATTTTCAATAGCTATTTTGACATTACCAGAGGGTATGTCAATTGTCCAAGTCATCCAATCCAATCAGATCCTCCCCATTGATCGCAGAGCCAACGGCGCTGCACCACCTGTCGAAAAAAACAAAAAAAAGCCCTTTGCACAAGGTCATCACAAGGCAAAAATCATTGAAATGGGGAAATAGATCCTGTTGGCTACTTAACTTAGTTAACTTCCTATATATTTTTTGCTGGTGATTTCTCCATTTTTGCTAGTTGAGTCCCTCTCTGCTGGTTTTTTCGCCCAATGAAACTGGAAGGGTTTTTTCACCTCGCCTTGCCAACGAGGCCACTGCGGGGCACCGCTCCAAGAGGGATCCATCGGTGAAGGTGGGCACCTACTTTCCCATGGCTAGAGCAGGGGAAACCAATCCATTTCAGAATCTGGAAGCCTTAACTGGGTCTTGCTGCTATATTGTGGCAGGAAAGCTCCAAGCTTGGAATTCTCACTGTTAAATACTGTAAACATTTGTATAATAAACGCTCAGCCTGTAGGAGCGTCTGCAGTCGGTTCTTTTGAGCATGGCTCAGCTCCAAATGATTGAGCCTAGCTCGTCGACTTTGGCGTTCCCGTCCGAATGTGACACGGTCAAATCACGAAGACACATGGTGACACAATTGCACTCTACCATAGACCAAAGGCCCTGGCGTGCTCAACCGAGTCAAAAGGTTGTTGTCTAACCTCAAGTTCAAGACGCCATCACTGAATTGGGCATGAAACAACCAGGTTATGCTGAAGAAAAGGGTCTTACATATTTTATCATATTTTCATATCTTTCCTTTATGTTTCAATAATCCCAGTCGCAATCTTCGCATTGACGACCAGCGTGCATCGGACACTCCCAGGATCACAGCCACCGCCTGCTGCAAGGGCAGATCAGTGGCTGCTACGGCATCCTACAGCATCCTACGGCATCCTGCAGCCCACCAGCCACGCTCTTTTCCTCCGCAGGGTCAACGGGCTGGCAAGGCCTCACGTTCATGGTAAACACTGATTCGGATTTCATGTGGAGGGATAAAGGATGTAAATGATTTAAAGGATGTCAACAAAAAAAACTAATAGATAGACATGGATGGGGTCCTAGAGGTAGATAGTAATGTCCATAAGTAATGTCCATACATGCGCGAGACATATTCACATCCAGTACTCACAAATATGTTGCTTGCGTGACAGGAAGACATAGGAAGACTCTTGCATGGCAAGGCTTCAATCCGCCTCAGCTGCTGTGACATTGAGCTCCTGAAACCGTTCCTGGCAGTTCCAGATTGCGAGGTATAAAAAGATCCGCAGCAACTATAAAAGCGGAAACCTATTGACTGTTGATTGGCAGTTGACCACCAAGGCTGCGACTGCCAACTGCCCACAACCAGCATCAATATCGATTCCACGACGTACTCGAACTGTTGCCTGGCCCACGTTGAAATCTTGTGCAGTAAACATGCACAGTGAGCCGCAAACAAGATCAAATCTCCAGCGCGCCTCCACTCCAAACTGTCTTAAGGTGTCGACAAACTTGGCAACTGCCTGCTTCGATTGTGCAGCAGCGACTTGACAGGTTTTTCAGTTTGTTTCTACCAAGCACTACAGAATCAGGTGATGCATGTCAAAAAATGCTGCAGCTGTACACTATCCTCTGCTTGTAAATTCAAGAACCCCAATACATCCAACACATCCAATATATCCAAGACCAAATGGCACAAATCACTGTTTTGCGCCTCTCGCTGAGACGGACCTCCGCTGTAGCCGTTGGTGGGATTCAGCGGGATGAGGTTCACATGAGCTCCTGCCAAAGGCAGCTCGGATCAAGAAATTCTTGCGACTATGCCTTAAATAAGCAACAAATAGTTGCAACAACCAAATCAACCATACATGGTAGGTTATGAAAGGTTATGTAGGTTATGCACCGTGTTGAGAAACCATCCTAAACTCCTAAACTCCTAAACCATTCAATTCATTTCAATTCTACCTTTGTCATCCGATCGATCCATCATTTTTGAGCCCATCTGTCCATCCACCCTCCTGGGCAGTTCAAGTAGATCAGCTTCCCCAGCTCTTGAGCCTTCTCGGGGGTGTCCTTGGTCAAATCTTTGGGGAGCCAAAACTGGGATGGTTTTTCACAAAAATCAACGAACATGGGGAAGAACAAGAAAAAACAAGGACATGTCACCCAAAGATTGATATACGACCGAGCAGAATGGGAGATTTCATCAACAAATCATTTGCTGTAAGTTGTTCAATGCGAGTGACCATGTGAAGCTTGAAGACTTGTTAGCCGGTTTTACAGAAAAATGCTGGCCAATTGTATCTCTTGGGCACCCTGCATTTTCCCCGGCAATGAGCGTCCATTCGAAACTCACCCGTCGCCCAGTCACCTGCATTCAAAAGAAACCACAACACAACAAATGTTATAAGTTATAAGTTACACCCTGCTTTTCTGAGACAAAAACCTGCTAATGCTGCAGCATAGCAAGTCCAAACAAGCTTTGTTCAGTTCAAGCCTCCCAGTACTCTCTCGCTGCTTGCATAACCTCGGTAGGGTTTTGTATTTTGGGGGCAAAGTGGGTGATAATCCAACACGGCTGATTAAGTCCTCCGCAGATGCCACTGGATAGCGCTTGTTCATTGGAAGCAGCTTGCTTCTTTCCTGTCAGCTTGCACATACTGGCACGGGACTCAAAACAATGGAAATGTGCCTTTGGGACTCATTTAAATTTGAAAAGCTTCTATTTAAGCCTATGTACATTTACTATTATTTCGTAATGCTTCTGCACCTCGTCATTTGCAGCATGGAGGGAAATTGCCAAGGTCACTTGAAGCTGCTCCTGAACCCGGAGATCAAAGACCCTCAAACCCTCCAGGTCACGGATGAACATGTTTTCCCCAATGACCCTAGGATCCCATAGGATCCCTACGTTGAAATGTCCTCAGCCAGCCGCTTGATCTCAGGCACCAAACCAACAGTGCCTCAGTTGAATACGTTGAAGAATGCCTGTGCAACCAGCGTACATTCACTTTTGGCCGAAACCAGCAGCTGGTTTAAGCGTAAATTGTGGCAAGATGTGGCAAGCCGTGGCAAGATGCTGATTGTGATATGCCTCATGCCAATGTCCAGCTCATCATGGATACGCCGAACAGCTTTCACTACATTCTCAAAATTCGCCAGTGGTTCACCTCAGATCGGCAGCCAAACGGGTGGTCAAAAATCGAAAACACCTGGTAGTTATGGAGTTATATGGATAGTTCTGGATGTTCATCCCCCCGAAATATGGTATTTCAATGATTTTCAATGCGTTTTCGTAGGTTTTGATCCCATCCCACTGCTGCTGTGGTGACCCATTCCCAGCAGCACCACAGAGGAAAGACGAAGGCCCTGCCGCCGCAGCTTCGCAGAGAAACGGGCTGCCTGGTGTCAGTCCTATTGGGGTTGGAAGGTTCAACTTGGCCTCCAACGGTATTCGGTATTGGTACAGGCGGTACAGGAAACCTATATCTCTAACCTATATATCCTATATTAGACAAGATCTCTATATATGGGTAGTCAAAATTAGGTACCCCAATACTAGATGCTTATTACTATAGACTAAGCTCTGTGGTCCCCAGGTCATTTTGACCCATCACCACATCGTGTCATGGGACCGGATTCACCATTGATCCACCTGCTCGAAGATTTCACTGGATGTGAGGTGTCGCTTAAAGCCCATCTGCCCGGTGGCACAGAACACGCAGCCCATTGCGCAGCCCACCTGGTGCTGAATGGCTGTGACCAGAAAAGCACCAGAAAAGTATCAGAAAAGCATTTGGCCTCCCAACCTGTCTTTTAGTGCAAAATGATGTATCATTATATAATATTATATAATATTATATAATTATATATTGCAATTTAACATAATTTAATTTAACTGTAATATAATGAGTTCACTTCAGCTGAGAAGTCCAAGCATAGTGCAACACAACTTGGCTGGTATGCAGGCCTGGCTGGAAACGCAGGCAGTCCGGCGGCCATCCTTGAATGCATCGAACACGTCAATAATTTGGTCGAAGACTTCCATTATCATTTTCCTCACGCAACAATGCAACAATCATGACGCAAAACACCCACATTGAGTACGCCAAGTCTCTTGGTATGGCATGAGCACTGACTCAATGGCATGACCATCTGGCAGACCATAAGCCACCTGTCCAGGTTGGTCTCGACGAAGCAACGTCTTCAGTGGTTGGACTGGGCCTTGACAGTTCCATCCGTTGACTCGCGCTCGGCCAAGGTCTTCCAATCCGCAGCCCCTGCAGCAAGGCTGGAGCAAGCTCCACATTTGCTGGAATCGATGACTGGAATCTTGGGGCAACTCTTTGATCATTGTTACCCATAATCCCTTTTCGAAGAAAATTGTAGGATTCCAAACCACCAACACCAAACCCCAAACCCCAAACCACCGTAATCATTAATTGGCTGAAGGAGCACATCGAAGAACACGGGAACTCCCCTTGGGGCTGCAGTCCCAGCCTGCTGATGCCAGTTTGGCTAAGGACTCCCTGAGACCTGTGGCACTGACGCAACTGCGAACTGATGACTGCTGAGTAGGCACTGAGCTTCCAACCACTGGGGATGGCATTAATGTCACGAAAGTCCTGGCCATGCATCTCCACTTGGAAAGATCTCAAATGATCCTTTTTTTATTTTTTGCTCAGTCGCTTTTCGCTGGAAGGATGCATAGCTCCACAGAGGTCCCCTAGGGTCCAGCTTAACTGCCCCAAGTTCGAAGGTTTGTCCCCTTGTTGATAGGTACTAGCTGCTGGCTCACAAGATGCATGAACGACACTGAAGCAAAACCCTTATCCTGGGCGCCCTTCGTGAAGAGATAGTGTCGAATGATCTTTGCATGCATTCGTTGAATTCCAAGCTCTCGGATCAAATAGAAGTAGAAGTCATTTGGTTCCAATTGGTACAAGTTCACAATGGGCAGGCCCTTTTGTGCCATAGCTTCCAGATTCACGGGCCGTGCTGGTGGTTCGTATTTAATTTGCTCCTCTTCCCTTTGCTCTGCTGCACTGCCGCTTCTCTGTCTGGGTTCTCTCCTGGACTGCCGTCCAACTTCTCTTCTGCCAGCTTCTCTGCGAAAAATGGGCGGCCTCCACGGTTCCCTGCGCTTTACCCAGCCATCATCATCCCTCTCCTCTTCCGAGCGCGTCCTCATCCGGCGACGACGTCTCGGAGCCCTTTTGCGAGGCCGTTCCTCAAAGTCCTCCTGGGAATCCTCGAAACTGCTTCCTCTGGAAGACTGCGGCTCCTCAAGATCTTCCCATAGATCACTGGATGGATCAATCTGCCTGCCAATTCTGGGATCTCCCCAGTTCACGGTAAATTTCCCCGCGTCGCCCTGCCATTCACCTCGACCTTCTCCTTCCTTGTCAGGGCCATCCTCAAATCGGGAGGGTCTCAAGGGCCTGCGAGAGTACCCCACTGGTCTCTTGAAAGCTCCAAGAGTTGTTCCAGTGGATCCATCAGCTGATCCTCCCTTCGTCCACGGTCTCCCAGCACAAAATGCCACAAGTGTCACCGCTTGCGTAGCAATCCCGGCTGCCAGGGCTGCCTGTAAAACAGATCGGCCATGTCTCCGGCCTCTCTCACCAGGCCGTTCTATCGTCATATCGCGTGAGGCGATTTCTGCAACTCTTAGTGCCTTCTTTGCTGAAAAGTTGTGAAAGAATTAATGGCTCTTTGAACTTGGACCTGGTCCTAAACCAGATTATCCACATAATATATATATATATCCACATCAATGGCGACTGAAATGATATTTGGCAATGGACATGTGAACAGTTTCGGATACACTCTATCATACCCTATTTGATAGGGACTCTCACATGATCATCAACCACAAGAGATTTAAGCCTTGGTGATGTAAATGCCTGTGGATGAAAACACATTCTCTGCGACTGCTACCAAAACGCGATTCTTATGGATCCTCGGCATTCTACTTCATGATGCTCTCTGCTGTGTATGTCAGAAGCTTGAAGTCCAGGATAACGTGCAATCTCAAAACAATGCCATGCTGCTATGCTTCTTTCATGCACATTCCTGCAGACAATGGCAGGTCATGCTTGCAGAACATACCCTTTACACTTACACTGATGTTTTCAAACTGGAACACAACACAACCATGCTTCTGAGATGCTTCAATCATTGGATATCATTGGATCATGCCTCCAGCACTTGACACACGACAGCTGGAGGGTTCCGAAAGGTTCGAAGCTCCGCCAGCTCCTTTGCAGTAACCTCCATGGAGCCCCAGATAAGTTCAATGTCAATTTGTTGATGAAAAGAATGCGTGTGGTTTGATGCTGCTTGTCTTGCCTGGGCAGCTACGTGCTGAACCAGCTGAGAGATTCCTTAAACACTTGAAACATTGCAGACCAACTGTGAGAAAACCGCTCAACACCAAAAATAACAGTCTTAAGCCCATTGATCTTTCTTGTTTCAAATCAAATGAGCAATCCCGCACTGCCCACCTCTATCCCTAATCAAGCCATTTAGTTTGCGATGATTACATCGCTCTCTGAAGAACACCCAAGGCCGGGGCGGGCTGGTTTATCACAAACCTGGGCTCTTGATCCTACTTCCAGCTGGCTGAATGGCAAGGCTACTGTAAAATGTTCCAAGTGCATGTCGGCTATGCCCTTGTATCACACGTGTTTAAGCTCAACGCAGACACAGGTGCTGTGGTACAATCGAACCTCAGCAGTCATACGGTGAGCCATACGTGAACTCAAAACCATAACCGAAAATTTGCCAGGCTCAGCAGCTCAGCATGGAACGAATCTTTGCAGGACAGTTTGAGGCTTTTTGCAGAGCTTGTCGTTGAATTTGTGCTGGTTCCTAGAGCTACAGCCACTTGTTGCAAACGTCGGTCAAAAAAAAACACTTTATCCCAGAATGCAAGTCATGACTTTTAGGAGCTGTGAATATTGCCAAAAACAAACAGGGAGGAGATGTCACTGAGACCAAGCATCCAGCGGACTCAAATCCACTCATTTGTTTGTACAGTCCAAAAAAAACAAAGAGGACTTTATCTCAGGTCCACGCCAGCATCTGGAACAGGCAATGACCATGGCTGGGGATGAAACTCCATTTCACCTTGGATAAGGCTCTGAACCCGCAACTAAGTTGTGAGGTGATTGGGAACTGCAAGGAACCCAAGAAGGGGGAACTCAACCCAAAAAAATGTAACATTTTCACGTCCTATAACTCGTTTGCCATATCGCACACCTCTGCGCTGCATTCGGCATTTCAAGCAGGGTAGAATCCGGGTAGAATTTCAGAACGTGTGTTTTCGCAAGGTTTTATCATGATGAAACTCTGATATTTGCATTGTTTAGTTTTGTAACGTTAAGACATTTAGAATTTCTTTGATTTCAGCACCAATGTGAAGGTGCA